CATACACACACACACACACACACACACACACACACAGACACACACACACACCCCAGCCTGAGGCAATGTCATCAGCTAGAAGTAACTATAACATTGCCTGTGATGGTTGTCCACCCCTACTGTCGCACCCACAGATGGTCAAAGATTACAGTATCCTCCACCCTCCACCTTCCACCCTCCACCCGCATCCCAATTGGGCCTTCGTCCACGTAACCCTCCCCTTTTTACCTCACTGAAGCCGCGCATCACATTCTGTATTGCTACTTTAAAAGACGAGGCATAACTTCCATTATCATAAAGATATTTTTTAAAATCTGAAACGTAAAAAGGCAGGCAATATAATATGCATGCTATCAAAAATTCAAACTCGTTTTGTGTTTCTGATTTAGGTATAAAGGTTCGAAATGTGCAACAATTAATTTTTTGTCTCTATTCTGCAGCTGATCGGCTTCGTAGACAAAGAGTTAACCTGTCGCAGTTTTCATGGTAGTTGTCAACGCCTTGAGGAATTTGGGGAGGGGAGTGGTAGGGAGGAAAGGAGGGGAGGGGATGGGGAGATGGGGAGAGGTAGAAGGGAGGAAGGGATGGGAGGGCACGGGGCCAACCAGGAAATAATAAACGAATGACGTTTATATTAATATATATATTATTTTTTTTTAAAAATATATATATATATATTATATATTATATAATATATATCGTCGGTGTTATTCCCAAACCGGCTACATGCACAATTTTCAATTTTTGTTTTATTTGCTTAATGAATAGTGAAAAGCATGATACGTTACCCCGATAAGTATGAGATTTGAGAAACATATAGAAATATTATTATGTTTTAATTGAGACTTTCCAAAATGGACACTTGGAGCTGTGGGAAAAGTGTCCTGGCCCAACCAGCCATGTAGACGTAGCCGTTTCGGTTTAAGCATGCCGTCTTGGCACGTGTCGAAACGTGTCACCCAAACCAGCTACATGCTTCCCCGACTCGCATCACCCCCACGTTCCAAATAATTTTTTTTTCCCTTTTTTTTTACCCCTTTTGATCTAGACTGAATTTAGAATTTTCATCAGTGTTCATCAAGATATAATATTACAGTCAGCAATTAAGTGACTTCTTTGATTCGATTTACGAGACTAAAATTTGTTAATTAATTTATTATGCATCTAGACAATATAAGAACATGACAGACCAATATTATAGTTCAAGCCACGTTATTGACCCGCGCTTTTACGTCAAGCCCTCTTTTTCTTATTTTTCTTATCCTTTTTTATTGTTGTTGTCGTTGTTGTTGTTGGTGGCGGTGGTGTTGTTGTTATTGTTGTAGTTGTTGTAGTTGTTGTTGTTGTTGTTGTTGTTGTTGTTGTTGTTGTTGTTGTTGTTCTTCTTCTTCTTCTTCTTCTTCTTCTTCTTCTTCTATAAAGAAGAAGAAGAAAAACAAGAACAAGAACAAGAACAAGAACAAGAACAAGAACAAGAACAAGAACAAAGAAAAATAAGAAAAATTTGTGGTAAAAGTGCGGGTCCATAATGAGTCTCGAACCCTATATTGGTCGGTCATGTTGTTAGGTCTTGATGCATATCAAATTAACTAACAAATTTAGTCTAGAAAATCGAATCAAACTTAAGAAAACAAGTCACTTAAATGTTGACTATAATATTATATTATAATCTTGATGAACACAGATGAAGATTCATATCAATCTAGATCATGGGAAAAAAACGAACGTTTTTATGGAACGTGGGGGTGATGTGCGGCGGGGAAGCATGTAGCCGGTTTGGATGACGCGTTTCGAAACGAGTCAAGAGGGCCTGCTTAAACCGAAACGGCTACGTATATGGCTGTTTGGGCCAGGACACCTTTTCCCCAGCTGCAGGTGTCGGATTTGGAAAGCCTCAATTAAAACATATTTCTCTTTTTTTTTTAGACCTCATATTTATTGGGGACACGTATCATGCTATTTACTATTCATTAACATTAAGCAGAAAAAACAAAAATTGAAAATTTTGCATGTAGCCGGTTCGGGAATAACACCGACAATATGTATATGCACACACACATATACATATATGATAAATATTATATATATATA